TCTGCACCATGTGCATAGATACAGAGAAGTGAAAGTACAAGATGTGTCGGTGAAAGTGGGAGAAGTGGAATGCAGCTACAGAATTGTGTGTGTGTGTGTGTGTGTGTGTGTGTGTGTGTGTGTGTGTGTGTATTCGTGTGTCGGTGTTTCATCCATGTTCAGAGATGAAACTGGAGAAGCTGTTCCGGGCCAGGTTGTGAAGGGACTTTAATGCCAAACTAAGGAGATAGAATATTGTCCTGAGGATGGTGTTCCAGGATGAGATGTCTTAAAGTGTAACAGTATTGTCAGCTTTCAAAAGGAAGAATATGCAGACACTGTGGAAGACAAACTGGAATTGCAAGATGAGCTGAGGTGAGTATGGGTCAGAAAAATTATTTATTCAACCAGTATTTATTAAGTATAGACAATATGGCAGAGAATGAACAGATGAACAACAAACACATCTCCCTATTTCATGGAGATTAGTAGAGAATTAGTCACATGCAAATGGCCCATGGTAATGTTGTGATTTATAATAAGAAAAATGTATTTGGTCTTCAACCCAGTTCGTAAAGCACAGAGCCCCTAAAACCCTTGGAATTTCCTGGGTTCGGAGCAGTAAATGTGTCTTTTTTTTATGTTAATAAGGTGACTTAGGATAAGCCTTCAGCTAACCAGGATGGGGGCTGTTTGCCAAGGGAACCAACCTTGTGATCTGAGGTTTGGAACTTTGGATACCCGTCCTGCACAAACCTCCAGGCAGGGAGGGGGCTGGAGGTTGAATCAATCACCAATGATCAGTGATTTAATTAAATCATGCTTATGTAATGAAGCATCCATAAAACCCCAAAAGGACAGATTTCAGAGAGCTTCTGGGTTGGTGAGCACCAGGTATTTGGGGAGAGTGGAGTGGTGCTCCAAGAGGCTATAGAAACTCTTTACACTCCCCCATACCTTGCCCTATTCATTTCTTTCCTTTGGCTGTATCTGGGTTATATCCTTTTTATAATAAACTGTTAATCTACTGAGTAAAATGTTTCTTTGAATTCTGTGAGCTGTTGTAGCCAATTAACCAAACCTGAGGAGGGGGTCATGGGAACGTCTGATTTATAGCCAATTGATAACAACCTGGGCTTGTGACTGATGTCTGAAGTGGGGGGGGGGGGTGCCCAAGGGGGCAGTCTTGGAGGACTGAGCCCTTAATCTGTGGAATCTGATGCTGTCTCTAGGTAATCCTGTCAGAGTTGAATTGACCTGTAGGATACCCAGGTGTTGTCTGGAGAATTACTTGGTGCTGTGTGGGATACTCCCCCCCTTCACGTTTGGGATTGGTCTCAGGACCATAATACCTATGATCCTCTGAAAAGGTGATAAACTTCCTAGTTCTCAGAAAAATGCAAATTAAAACTACAATGAGATATTATACCACACTCCCATTAGAATGCTGAAAATGAAAAAGCCTAAAAATACCAAGTGTTGGCAAGGATGTAAAGCAGATTGAAGTCCCAAACTCCGTTGGTGGCAGTGTGGCCGTATCTACTAACACTAAACATACACATATCTGGTAAGCCAGCAATTACCACTCTTAGATAAAAACCTAAAGAGAAATGTATTTCAGGCCAATGTATTCCGCTCTACATGTCTTGACAGGACATGAGCAAGAATATTAGAGCAGCACGATTCAGAATAGACCCGAAGTGGAAACCATCCAAATGTCCAGTGGCAGAAGGATAGATAATTTGTGATATATCAACACAAATATTTGAATAACAACTAAAATGATTGAACCGTAATTTCACTCAGCAACTTGGAAGAATGTTACAAATAACATTGAAGAAGCCAGACATGTGGGTACATACTCTTTTGACTATATAAAGTTCAGAAAAAGGCAAGACTAATCTATGGTATTAGAAGTTAGGAAAATGGCATATGGGTAGCGATTGAAAGGAGCGGCACAGGGCGGCTTCTAGAAGACTTGTAATGTTTTATTTCTTGATTCTGGCTGCTTGTTATGTAGTTGTGTTCTGTTTGTGAAAACTTTTCTCCCCATACACTATACACTTAGGATTTGTATGCTTTTCTGTATCTATATTATGTTTTTCCATAAGAATATTATATTTCTTCTTGAAACAAATTCTGATAATTAGTATTGATGTCTACTTGTTCACTTGAGGAAAACTCACTATTATCTGAAAGTCACACTCAGGGGTTTTTCATCTCTCTCAGTATTAGTGCCTGCATATTTTGTTGTGAGAACACCACCAACTATGGAATAAAGTTAGAAAAAAGTTAAAGAAATCTGTCCCTGTATGGTTAAGTGTGTGAATTCTATTTAGAAAATCTGTCACGGTTGCCAGGTGGATATTAGGAAGGGTTAAGGCTGTGACAGGGGAGAAGATAGCCTTGATGTGGGACATGGGTCAGTGGTAGGATCAATTGGATATGGTTGCCATTGAAGATAAGTTTCTGATTTAGGATATGGAATAGTTGACATCAACAAGATTAATTAGCAGGTGCCAGGATATGTGGGAAGGGGCTTATTTATTTTATTGTCTGAGATGGCATTGGGTATCTGTGTTAGGGTTTTGGAAAAGCGTATGAAGCATCTGAGATGTTACGTTTGGAGAGAGTGATTTGGTGATCATTTGGATGGTGAGGCCTGGAGAGGGAATGAAATCACTGAAGGAGCAGTAATTCTCAGCCTTGGCTGCACATTAGAATTACGTTGAGAGCTTTGCAAAAATACCCATGCCTGGGCTGCACAATTTACCAGCTTAAAGCAGAATCTTTGGGGGGTAGGGCATAGGTAACTGTATTTTTCAGAAGCTCCTCAGGTTATTCTAATATGCAGCTAGACTGGGAAAAAAATAAGACAAGTCGATCAATAAATCAGACAGCAGTGCATTTATTGAATGGGCACTATTTTCAGCACTGCTAATTAGCTCTCAGGAGGTAATTACTGTTATCTCTCTTTATACTTATAGGGAGACTGAGGCACAAGAGTTAAGTAGTTTGCCTTAGGTTATGCAAACAGCTAATTAGTGCCCAGGCCAGGATTCACAACCAAGTCATTTACTCCAAGGGCTGTTCTCTACCATAACATCCTATTGCTTCTCCAGTCAATGAATCTGGGGAGGATTGAGACTTTTGGAACAGCAGCCTGAGAAACTCAGCAGACCCTCTCCAATGAAACAACCTTTTAAATGGTAACAAAAAAATATAAAAAATAATTAAAGTCATTGGAAATTGACCTGAGGACGTACAGCAAATGGAGAAACATTCAAGAAAATCCCCTAAATCTTGGTAAGAGCAATGAGTCTGCAGTATTTGAACCATGACCTGCTCCCCACCTGTCCTCCACCAGTTCCATATGAGGAGAGCTCCATTCCTGGTAGATCCAGCCAAGAAGACAGGACTCACCCCCTCCCCCCAACCCCAGCTTGTAGTCTAGGGCTAGGAGAGTTAGAGCACCTGCTCTGAGAAATACTAGAAGTATTAGAAGGAAGGAAGGAAGGTGGGGGGGGGAAGGGAGGGAGGGAAAGTGAGAGAGAGAGAGGGGGGAGAAGGAGAGAAAGACAAACACTAATGTATACATTGAAGAAGCCCAGCCCTGTCCTGTCCCCTCCTGTGGCTGCCAGGCTGTTCGTCTCACTGTGACTGCAGGCTGGGGATGCCTGCAACCACAGAGATGCCTGCAGTTGGGGTGGGGGCTTGGGTGTAAGGCCATTTAAATACCACAGAGCTCAGTGTTCTTCCTGAGATGCACAGTTTTTCTTGAACAAACGCTCCCTGGATTGCTGCGAGCCTTTGGTTCATTTCCAGAGTTCTGTCCATTTGCATAGTTTTCTCATTGCTTTGATAGAGGAGAGAATTTTTGGAGGCCTTTATTCCCCCCATTTTTTGCTGACATCCTAGTTGAATTTTTATAGGAATTTTCTTAAGATTAATTAGTGGCTTTTTATAGTTTGGAAATCTAAAAGCCCATCCATAAGGACCAACTAAAAAAAAGAAACCACGGTGTATCTTTATAGCAGAGTATTATGTAGTTGTTAAAAGAAAGATGTATTTTTAACTGTGGTGGTAGAGAGGATTTTTCTTCAAGGGATAATGCTAAATGAAAACAAGTTGCAAAACAGTATATGGTATTCTGTTTGTATAAAGTATTGAGTAAACAAGAGGAAAAACACAGGTGTGTGCTATATTATATATATATATATATGCATAGAACATTTCTAAAAGAATATAATGTTTTCCTCTGGGCCATAGGAAGTGGAGGGTGCTTTTTAGATCTTCACCCCATTTACTATTATTTGAACTTTTGAGTATTATTTTGAAATAACTTTAAAAAGTCATTGAATATTTGTTAGTTTTAAACTACCAATAGGATATGTGTTAATTTAAGGTCTGCAAATTAAAGATTGCAAGATCTTAAAGACATTTGTGTTCATAGGACCTCCCCCCCGACCCTTTTGCTTCTCTGAAGTGAGCACTTGTGATGTAGTTTCAATGCTTGGGAAATCCTGTTGCCTGAAAACTTTAAAAATAATTAATTCATTTTTAGTTTTGATCAGCTGGGATAACCCACAAGTAGTGGTAATGACTAACCTGTTCTCTTTTCACCCCAGTGATCTTCTAGACTTTGTACATTAGTATCCACCCCCTGAACAAGTCACTGTCTTTTGTAAGAACAGTAACAGCCATCTTTGTCACCTTTATTTTTGTCTTTGAAAGAGGAGGAATAATCACTCAGTCCTGAAACATCATGAGTAGGTAGAATTTAATTATCTGAATTGAAAATCTTCCTATAAACTGGAGGAAAAAACCCCTAACCAGTGTGTACACATAGGTTCTCCAGGGAGTTTTTGGTTCGCTACACTGTGAAATCCTTGAGATTTCATAATATATCTTGTCTCATTTTCCTGTTATGAAATGGGTTTTTCAGCCTGGTTTTTCTTGTCTGTTTTCAGATCACAGAACTGTGTGGTGCAAAGCGGGTTGGTTATTTTGGTCCAACACAGTTTTACATTGCCTTAAAACTGATTGCTGCAGCACAGTCTGGCCTTCCTGTACGGATAGAGAGTCTTAAATGTGGTAAGTATCTCCCATTTATACACTTGATTGTCCATGACGGGTGTCTTGTTTATGAGAACCATTTTTAGTGGGCTTAAGGCCTGTTATAAGCATTTGTGGAATTTCTCCTTGCTTCTTCCAACTGTTGTAAAATAAAGTAAGAAAACTTAGCAGGTATCTTACTTTTTCTTTTTTTTCTTTTTGAAATGGGAAAAATATTCAGAGTGACCTGAGTGACCTCATGCCTTTAACGGACTTGATGTTAAAATAGTTTTTGTTCTTTAGCAGAAGGAGATCAGGACAGGAATTCTAGAGCTTGTGGCAAAATAATAATAACATTTAGTTTTATTTTCCTCTTGAAGAATATATAATGCCATTTGAAGTTCTGTTAGGAACAAGGGGACAAGTACGTGGGAGAGTTAGAGTGGAACTGCCCCTATTTCTTCTCCTGCCCCTGCAAGTCATATCATGCGTGATCGTCCTTTAATCCTCCAGTTCCTGAAGCACTCTTCTAATGATTAGTAAGTCCTATGGAGCTACCAGACTTTTGGCGGAATGAATTTAGCTTCTCAAAGTTTTGATTTAACGTTTTCTTATCTTGCCATCCCTGCCCCCAACCCAGTGAATGTTTGAACACTTTCCACAACTTAAACAAAAAGCAAAGTCCCAGAGCATCATTTATACTGCCTCAGTATTGGGTTTACAAATCTCTATGAAGAAGGTGATTATTCCAGGGCTGTGCTGAAGTCCTCTGTTCATTTACTCTGATCTGAGTTACTTTCATAAGTTCACACAGCCATGCAGAAACTTTTTCCTTTTCCTCATTTTGAGATAAAAAACACTCAACTGTCCACGCCTGTCCTCTGAAGTCCTTGATAAACCTCAAAATGGGTTCAGGAACCTTTTAGGACAACTCTTAAATAGCTGACAAGATTCTGATAGCTTGACTATGGGAAATAAAGTCCTTTTGCACTAACCATCAGGGAGCCATAATCATCCCACTAATCTTTATTAAAGGCTTAGTGTCTACCAGATACCATCTCATTTAGTCCTCACGACATCCAACTAAATTAGGTGTTTGTGTTGGTTTGCATTGCCTACGATAAACTGTGAAACAAATCCCACTGAAATCCCAGCGCCTTAACAAAATACAGGGTCACTTCTTGCTTTGCAGTGGGTCGCGGTGACCCCCTAGGGCAGCTGCCCTCCATGTGGTGGCTTCATGATCCTGGCTACTTTATCTTGTGGCACCCCCCCTCCCCTGGCAAGCACCTGTTCCTATAATTGCTGCAACAGAGAAATAGTTTCTCACCCTAGCAGTTAAATACTTGGTCCTGGATATGACTCACATGACTCCTGCTCACAGTGCATTGGCCAGAACTTGTCACATGGATCCACTGAACTGCAGAGCAGACTGGGGGTGGTGTAATTCTCTCCTGTGCCTGCAAGGAGAGAACTGGCTCTGGATAAACACTGGAAGTCTCTCCTGTGGTACTGTTGTTATCCTTCTCTTACAGATGTGGAAATTGAAGTTTAGGGGACATTGAGTAATTTGCCTAAAGACATAAGGTTAGTAGAGTTTGGAGCCAGAAGCTCAGCCTTCACTTTCCTCGATCTTCATGCATAGTAGCCTCTTCTTGATTATTTGGTTTAATAAGGTGCTGATTATAATCTGGAATCATGGAATATATTCTGAATGGGAAAAAAATCTTACCCAAAAGGCATCCCTTGATATTACATAATTTGGTTCCTTAAAATAGTTTTTAATGGAGCATTATTTCAGTGGCAAGTTTGGTGTTTATCACTATAAGGCGGAGTAGTCTCTGCTGTAAGTCACTTGCTGTGATTAAAGTCACATCACATTGTAATTGGACTTGGGGTAGACACGGAAACTTTCCAGTTTTCATTCCATTGTAAATGATCATTAAGCTTTATTGTTGTATCTTCCAGCTTTATCTTCTGGAAAAGTTAAAGCTGCTTTGTCGTATTCAAGAATAAATTTTTAACACTTTTGTTGTTTATTTTAAGTTAGAATGGTCTTTTACCTGATTTGTGCCCACATCTACAGCCAAACTTCCTGGGAATGGAAAGTGGGGAGAAGGAGGGGGGAGTTGTCTAAATTATGACATTGTAAAGGAGTAACACTTTTTCACAAGTGTAAGGCCTTCTCAGTTGTATTTTATAAATCCTGATGCTGCCTTTTACCTTTGACAGTTTAAGTATACTCACAGTTAATTTTGAATTTTCTTCCTTCATTTAAAGATTTATTAAATAAAAGTTATTTGCAGTCAGCATATGTTAAGTAGGAATGAGGGCAACATTGGGCCACACTTTGAGCTGCCACTTAGAATTTTCCAATTTGTTGCTTGAAATCCATTAGTTTAATGTTTGATGACACAAACCTTGAAAGCCAAAGAGAATGCTCTGTGAGAACTTAATGTGAAAGGTTGTAGTAGCCTCATCACACTCATGGAGTTGTGAGTCTGTTCTTACTTCACGAATTACGTGCGTCTGTGTGTATGTGTGTGTTAACCTCTAACCCCCAGCCTTGCCCATTTCAGCCAATGCCACCAGCATCTATAGTTGCTCAGTCCAGGAACCTAGAAGTCATCCTTGATTCCGCCCTTTTCCTTGCTCCACAGTGTAATCCATCAACATTCCTGGCAGTGCGGCTCCAGTCTCATTGCTTGCTCCCTCCATCTCTCTATACCTACTAGAGCCAGCCACCTTCAGCCACTCACTCGGATATCACAGTGGATTTGTCATTGACTTCTTGGCCTCCTCTCTGCTCTCCTTTAGTCTCTTTTCCCGTGCGGCACTAGGAGTGATCTTTCAAGGAGCAGGTCCTTGAAATCCTCCACCGGTTGGCTTGTTGTACATCAGACTAAAATCAGTCACTACACCGATCTTTAAGGCCCTAGATAATCTAGTCTCTGCTTCTCCATCCTCATCGTAAACTTGCCCCCCACCTTGTGTTCGCAGTCTGTAGCCCGGCCTCACTGGCCTAGCCATTTCTGGTGCGGGAAAGACCGTGTTATCTTGAGGTTTTGGGTTCCCGGCATTCTGTCCCCCCCCCCTTTCCAATGGCTGGCTCTTCCACCTCATCCTTCAGGATTTGTGGACTGTCCCCACCATCCTGTCTAAAGTGGGTTCTGTCAAGTTAATTAATGAAGGAACCAGCATAGAGTAAAGCTGGTTCAAGAAAGTGTAGGACAGTCAGAAGTATTTATAGTCATGGAAAGAAAGAATGCTGGAGTAAGATTGCTAAATTACATATAAAATTGATGAATGCCCTGTAGAGCAGTAAAACTGTAATTTGGTTATTATACTCTTTTGTAAGATGAAATTCACTTGCATTGCTATTAGACAAGATTAGTTAGCTAACAGTTTTCTACCAGTGAAGTTGTAAGATGCATAATGAAGAGTAAATAAATAGTAAGTCAAAACAAAAGTACAGATCCCTAGGGAGTTAGGTAATCCTTGGATGGGTTAATCCTGTTAGATAATGCTTCTGTGTGACAGTCCTCTCCCTACTTTCTCTCAGCATCTGTTCCTTTATAACCCTTTAATCAGTTTGTAAATACTCCTTTACAGGTTTGACTAATTTCTGTCTTCCTCACTAGTCTGCAAGCTTACCTGAAGGGAAGGGAGGAAGATCTGTGTTGTGGAGCACTGTGGACACTAAGGGTATGTTTGTTGAGTGAATGAAGAGAGATGAGTGCTTGTGCATGGGGACTGAGTCATAATTATCTGTTCACTTTTTAAGCTCAAATAGTTGGATTTCAGATTCATCCAGAACTCCTGAGGGATTTCTAAAGAAGTCTTCTTCTTTCTCAGGCCGTGGTTCCTGGCCTTGTTTGCACTTCAGAATCTGCTGGAGACCTTTAAATGCAAAGTAAAAAATAGACGTGCCGGGGCCACCTCCAGAAATTCTCATTTAATTAGCCTGTGGTACAGCCTGAACATGGGGATTTTTAATAGCTCCCCAGGTGATTGTTATGTGGAGCCAGGGTTGAGACTGAGTTCTAATGAAAGTTGACTGGAGCATTTTCGAGAGCTTCGCTTACACCATGAGTATATATTTGGTTATAGCAGGGCCTGAACTGGGGTGAGGCCAGAGGTACCCAGTGTACATAACTTTAAGGGGGAACTCATTCTCAGGGCTGTACAGGTGCTGATTCTGCATTTACAGAATCAGGGCCTGAGAGTAACCACCTTTTTAAATGTTGGCACTAGGTCTCTCTCTAGCTTCACCTTATTTGGCCAGTTAAAGAGATGGTGAAACCTTATGATGATTTTTTTTTAAGATTTTATTTATTTATTCATGAGAGACAAAGAGAGAGAGAAGCAGAGGGAGAAGCAGGCTCCCCGCTGAGCAGGGAGCCCGATGCGGGGCTCCATCCCAGGACCCTGGGATCATGACCTGAGCTGAAGGCAGACGCTTAACCATCTGAGCCACCCAGGTGCCCAAAACCTTACGATGATTTAAGAGAACAGAAGAAAGGGGTGAAATTGAGGACCAGTGAAGAATTCCTGATGAGGAAAGTGCATGGTGGACATTTGCCCTGGGAGCTGTTGTCCCTTCCTTTCTGAGGACTGGTCATAACAGGGTGTGAGGACTGAGGGAAGGGATAGGTAGGGTTTAGAATAGGTTTTGTGTCCTCTTGTGTCATGGGCTCCTTTGGCAGTCTGATACTCCTTCTTGGAATAATGTTTTATTTTATTTAATTAATTTATTTTTTAAAGATTTTATTTATTCATTTGACAGAGAGACAGCGAGAGAGGGAACACAAGCAGGGGGAATGGGAGAGGGAGAAGCAGACTCCCCACCGAGCAGGAGCCGAGCAGGGAGCCCGATGCGGGGCTGGATCCCAGGACCTGGGGCCATGACCTGAGCCGAAGGCAGACGCTTAACGACTGAGCCACCCAGGCGCCCCCGGGAATAATGTTTTAAATGTATACAAAGACATAGGAGTCTAAAGGAAACCAGTTACATTGAAATTAAAACTAAGATATTTAAA